GGTTAGGTTAGATTAGGTTGAGTTAGGTTAAGTTACGTTAGATTTGGTTTAGGTCAGGTCAGATCAGGTTTCAAGAGGATTAGGTTAGATAAAGATTAAATGAAGTTGGTTAGATTAGTTTAGGTTTGGGGTAGGAAAGGTTAGGTTAGCTTAAGGTTAGGGCTGGATTGGGTTGGATTAAATTAGGTTAGTGATAGGATAAGTTAGATCAGGTTTGGGGTGGGTTAGATTAAGTGAAGAATATGTAAAGTTAGATTAGGTTAACTTAATCAACGGTAACTTCCCTCCGTCAGTAAACTAGTGAGTAAATCAAATCTAGATCGGCATATATGGAGCTAACTGACGCAGATGGCAATGGAGTCTGTTGGTTGCCATGACGACCCCTCCCTTTACACTACAGCCTCTCGGAACATGGCCCTTATTATGGCCCTCCGTGGAGTCGCTAATGGGCCACCAAACACCTACAGGTAATGGTGAAGGGGGGGGAGGGGAGGTGAGGGTGGTAGTGGTGAGGGAGGGTGGTGGTGAGGTGAGGGTGGTAGTGGTTGGGGGTGAGGGTGGTGGTTGGGGGGTAGAGGGTCGTAGAGGTGATGATAGTGGTGAAGGGTGGTAGTGGTGAGGGTGGTAGTGTGGATGGCAGTAGTGGTGAGGGTGGTAGTGGTGGCAGTGGTGAGGTGAAGGTGGTAGTGGTGAGGGTGGTAGTGGTATGCGGGTAGTGGCCTGAGGATAAGAGTGAGAGGGGTAGTGGCGAAGGAGGACAAAGGAAGAGAGGTGAAGATTGAAGACACATAAAAATAAGAGTTGATGAAGACGAATAAACAGAGGAAGAAGGAAAGTAAGAGTGAGGGAGAGTAGGATCTTCACACACACACACACACACACACACACACACACACACACACACACACACACACACACACACACACACACACACACACACCATTGGCAACTCTGGTCAACAATCCTGTTCACCTGCAGATTCTCAAAACCCTCTTGCTAAATCTCACCCTTATGTTACAAACCCAAAAAAAATATGGTTTCTCAGATATTATTAAACTTTCCTTTAGCTAAATGTGAGAACGTGTCTAATAGGATGACTACAGACCCCAAACATAATAGGTCTAGTTCCACAGGGGCCCCAGCACAGTTCCACAGTTCCCAGCACACTCCCCAGTCATACACAGGTCCAGTTCCACACAAACCCCAATAATACTAATAGGTCCCCAGTCATACACAGGGGTCCAGCTAGGCCCCAATACTACACAGTCCCCAGACATAATAGGGTTCAGTTCCACAGACCCCAGCACTAAGTCCCCAGCTCAAGTAATAGGGCTCAGTTCCAACAGGCCCCAGTACTAAGTCCCCAGTCATAATAGTCTAGTTCCAATAGCCCAAAGCCAAGTCTCCCCAGTCATAATAGGTCTAGTTCCAATAGGACCTGTAGTACCAAGTCCCCAGTCATAATAGGGTCTAGTTCCACAGGTCCCAGTACTGGCCAGACCCCAGTCATACAGGTTCAGTTCCACAGGCCCAGTAAGTCCTCAGTCATAATAGGTTCAGTTCCACAGTTCTAGTACTTAATAGGACTTGAGTCATAATAGGTCCAGTTCCACCGGCCCCTGTAAGTCCCCAGTCATATTACAGGTCTAGTTGCCCCAATAGGCCCCTGTACTAAGTCCCCAGTCATAATAGGTCCAGTTCCAATAGGGCCCCAATACTAGAAGTCCCCAGTCATAATAGGTCCAGTTCCAATAGGCCCCAGTACTAATAGTCCCCAGTCATAATAGGTCCCAGTACTAATAGGCCCCAGTGAGGTTATGTTACGAGACGAGCGCACGAGGATCAGCGCCAGCACAAGCAATCGGTATCGCCTGGCATTCCCCTCCGGCCATCAGTAACACGTTTATGACAGGTACACCACACGATCCTCCGCCTGCCTCTAATGGCGCACTTTTATGACAGGCGTATAAGACAGCTAAAGCTCGGGTTCCGGCACCATTATGAAACTTATTGGCACTTATTGGCACCTGTTGTCATACCAATTTGTATGATTTTGGCCCCAAGAGGCACGGAAACACCGTTACCTGCAAGTCTCACGTTTCAATTACCCTACAAAGTAATATTATACAAAGGGGGGTTAAATGTTATCTTATATTGCCGGTAGGGGGTAAATGTTATCTTATATTGCCGGTAGGGGGTAAATGTTATCTTATATTGCCGGTAGGGGGTAAATGTTATCTTATATTGCCGGTAGGGGGTAAATGTTATCTTATATTGCCGGTAAGGGGAAATGTT